TTTGAGTGAATTTGCTAGTTTGTGCTTGTATTCATAGAAGTGATTTTATGCAATTTCATCTCAACAAGTTCTTTCCATTTTCTGCCTTTCGTGTTTAAGGCACTCAATAATTTCTTCGTGTGTTTTAGGATATTCTAAAGAGCCGTAGTACTGAAAAAATGCAAAGTATTCAGTTTCCACTCCTCATTGATATGATATATAGATCTGATAAAGTTCAAAAAGTTCCTTAGCAGTTGGTCTGTTTCTGAAATGGGATCCCAAAATTTCAATAATAAATTTGCACCATCCGGGAACATTATTTCGTACTCCATTATAGATGTCGCATACAAAGTGGATATACATGTATCATGATTTCGTTCACCAAATAGTCGTTTACCTGTGGTAACCTCGTATGTAATCATCCAAATCTATAAATATCTGTAGATTTAGTGTATGAATTATACAATTTATACCAGTCGAATCTTTACTTCAAAACTACTTTCGATCCGACTGAGACGGGTACTTTTAAATCATATTATCATTTCAAACAATGAATTATTTAAATCAATAAAAAAGAACATTATTACTTCATTCAAAACATGCAAACTGACACTAAACATTTGGGGATCCCCCAAATATCCCACAGCCATAATCCTGACGTTCATAATTCCGATAATAAAATACCGACAATACAGAATCCCGACGGACTAAAAACTCGACAACCATTTGGAGATCCGACAGCCATAATCCCACGTTCATAATCCCGATAACAAAATAACCACAGAAACCCGACGGTCAACATTCCCGACATTCAAAATCCCGAAGATTCGAAAATCCTGACATTCAAAATCCCGAATGTTCAAAATCCCGAAAGAACAGCATCCCGAATGAACGATATACCGAATGCACAGTATCCCGGATGCACGAAATCCCGAATGCACGGCATCACGAAATCACGCATTTACGAATTTCCCCCAGGTTTCTGATTGGTTGAGGATATTAAAGGTTAATTTTAGCGTTGGGTTAGGGTTAGAATTGTGAATAAGGTTATACGTAAAATTGCTTCCCTGACATTTTTTATTAGTGCTTCAAGCCAGATTTAAGCATTCGTATATTTCACATTATTCGCATTTTTAATTTCTTGTGTCGGATTTGTTTTGGTTAATCTAGAAAACTCGGTGTGCAGTCAACCAATCAGCGATGGAAATTACTTGCATCCAATCAGAACCTGGGGGAATTAGTAAATGCGTGATTTCGTGATGCCGTGCATTCAGGATTTCGTGCATTCGGTTTATCGTTCATTCGGGATTTTGAATGTCGGGATTTTCGAATCTTCGGGATTTGAATGTCGGGAATATTGACCTTCGGGTTTCTGTGGTTGTCGAGTTTGTGATCCGTCGGGATTCTGTGTTGTCGGTATTTTGTTGTCGGGATTATGAACGTCAGGATTATGGCTGTCGGATATTGTGGTAGATCCAAATAATAGATCAACAATTCTATCAGGAACCTTACAGTATCATGCTCTTTATTAGATAAAACTAGCGCTAGTAAGTATTAATTTATACTTTATTGAGTTAAATAAATAAAAATAATAAAAATATATATTTATTTAATTCAATAAAGAGCAAAAACATTAAAATTAGAAGGCACAGTATTCAGTTTACATTATAGACATAAATATAACTTTCTTTGATTTATGAACAGCACTGGAATTACAACTGCTCTGACTTCAATAACTTCAATATCAACGTCAACATCAACGTCAATATCGAGTTCTAAATTCTTGACTACAACCTCTTCATCTACAAGTCTTGCAGCTCCATCAACATCACCCTCTTCACATCCTCTGTCATTACTAAAAATACCGCTTCAAATTATGTATATAACAATCAGTACTTATCACAGCTTTTGTTCTTTGATTCGTGAATGTGTAATATATAGACACCTATTTAGTAATTTAATTTTTATTTATGATTCTGCTCGTATAATTCAAAAATTATCAATTGTATAAAAAGTCGGGCTTGTCAAAAATTTCATACTGATTCGTGAATTAGTTTTCTGACAATTAACCAGCAACCATTCAATATTTTGCAAATATCGATAGCATATATGTATCCGGAATACGAGAACATGTAGAATGAAATTTTATATCTTCAAATTTTAAAAACGATAAATATTTTTGGCGCTTTATGTTATGAAAAGGATTAGGCTAAATTTCTCATAATTGATTTGATTTTGTAAGTCTTTGGCAGATTTGGCTTGTATGGGAAGATTTGTTGGTAACCACAAGCCAGCAAAAGATGCCGCTATATCATTGTCGCGTTGGCATCTGGTCACCAGTTCGCGTTTTTCTATAATGTGAGCGCGTTATTAAAGCAACACCAATATTCAATGCAAGGATAATTTTATAGATTATTTTTATTACGAGAGGTAAATTTATCTTGTTGATTTTGAGTTGATGAAGTTATTTTTACAAAAAAATCGATAGTTTCAAAATTTTCATTTTTTTCATAATTCTTTGTAAATTATAAAATTTAATAAATTAGTTAGCGGCGACAATTTCTTACATTACAATTTTACCGCTAAATGTTTATTTGTTTTATTTTTTTATAAAAGATCTATGAAATATTTTGCCATCGATAACTATACCTTCGATACTAAAAAAAAATATTTTGCCATCGATAACTATACCTTCGATACTAAAAAAAAAGCTTTATTAATGTCGAGTTTTGAAACACATTTAGTTCACAATAATACATGCATTACTAACGCTAACTACAGCTAAAAATTATGACGGCTTAAGAAAGAGACTGAATAAATATAAACGGTGGCAGTTGTTATTGCATTTTTTACTAAGATGAAAACTTTGATCCAATTTGTAATTTCGTAAGTGGCTGTGCATCAGCATCATTTTGTCCAAAAGATATTTTGTTTTTCGTAATTTGCGATCTGTTTCAAGAATGAAATACTCGAAAAATATCTTTATCTCCGTCAATATTAATCCAAACAAAATAAGCACGTATTCATTTTAATCCTCAAAACCTTTAATAATTTTAAAAATTAATTAACAACAGATTATTCAAGCTATTTTGGTGAATTGAGTGATTTATCGAATTTTTCAATTAGTAAATTTCGACCTACAGAACTTTTATTCCAATTTTGAAAATGTTCTACACTATGAAATTCATCTACATACCAACTCTCATGAAAATGAGCTCAAACTTACCGAGACTTAAGATCCCGAAGGTCCAAATCTCTAAAGCACATGAAAATTTGAAAAATATCGTTATATTAGATTATATTAACAGAAATTTTATGTGCTGTCATATATAAATCTTATCGCTATAGCAAGATATAACACATATCGTTATATCCAGCTTTGTCTGTAAATAAATAGTTGAATTGATGCTTCTAGCAGAGATTCGGATAAATTTTTTAAAAAATTATTTGAGGTTCAAAATGAATACTTGATTATTTTGTTTGGATTAATATTGGCGGAGATAAAAATAAAATCTCTAGAAAATATTTATCGAATGTTCCATTTCTTGTAAGTGACTATATATAATTGAGAAGCGTGAATTTTATATTAAATTTTTTACCTCAAAAAATTAAGCACAGCTCTCTTAGATATGGCATACAATATTAGACCTTGAATGTTCGATTCTAAATCTATCAGACGAAGTGTTAGAAAGTGATATCTGATTAGGTATCGGACCCCTTGATAGTAATATCTGACGAAATCAGATTTGATGAAATTGTTTTGGCCTACAAGAATTAGTGAATAAATTAATTTTTGCTGGAATATTGTTCTAAAGAATCTGTTATTTAAGAAATTATAAAAAATATTTAATTTGCGATTCAGTGAAATCCACTATTAGTCTTGGAATAAATATTATAGTTCTATTGCCATTCCGAAATCTGCAGCTAATCTAAGTTGAATATATTTAATATGAAATGAAATTTACTAGCGTGTAGATATACCTATTAAGCTCTTTTCCCGTTACAAGCTAAAATATTATTTTAAATTAGAAATACTTTACTTAGTACTATTATCGTTGTCTCCAAACATATTTAGTAAACTTTCACTAGTTCTTACACGGATCACGAATTAAGTTATTATACGGTTCTTACATTTACGTAGTTTTTCTGCGTGCTCTTTTGTGACTTTTCTCTTAACTGCTGTATTAGAAAGCTCATTATCCTCTTGGATCTCAATATTGGTGTCTTTGTAGTAAATATATGAAGTAGATGTGATCTTTCTTTGAAGAATAAGCTATTTTGTATTATTGACGAACCGAAACGACAACAGGTGAAATAATGGCATATGAATAAACGAATTTGACCCGCCTACTTTCACCCAGATGGTCACTAGGTCTGGTTTTAATAACCTCGGTGACTTATAATTAATCACTGGTCTTTTTTGAACTTTGTTACCTAATTACTTTCATTTGTTCAATAGTTGAGACGTTCTTATAAAATATGACTCATTGAAGAGTTCTTTGTTAAGAGCATAAATCACATAAAAAAATGTCCAGATCTCGTGACCAGTGGGGATAAGAATCGATGCTAAATCGATTAATAATTTCGATTAATCGACTAATCGTTTAAATAAATTCGGTTAATCGATTTTCAATTTGAGAATCGATTCTCAAGTAGATATATTATATGTATTTTATTACTAAGAATCGAAATTTATTATTTATTAGCATTAGGAAAAATTTGTGCAAGTTCTCGGTTTCTTTTAATAAACATAATTTGTTCTACCAAAAATCGATTTCGTTCAGTTGTAATTAAGTTTTCCACATTTGAAAATAGACATTCAGATGGAACTGATGTGGCAGGAATTGTCAAATGCGTGCAAGTTGTGAAAGAATTGGGTATAGGGATAGGAATTGATTCTCAAACACAGATTACGACGATGATGACGATGACGATAGCAAGCGATGAATAACTGGCCTTTTGTTTGTTTTTCATTGCATGTTGATTTTTTCCCCTTTCATTGGAATAGTTGAAGTTATATTTTAATTAGTTGAAATTATGCTTTGATTAGTCGAATTCGCAGAGATACTACGTGGTAAAGATGGTATAGAAGCAATTGAAGTATTGTCATCAGATTCAGTATCCATTTCATTACGTGTATTTCTGTTGTTTCATAAATATCATTCGAATTTGGATTAATATTACATGTAGTTACTTTTGGCATTAGTATCACTGTCAGAGTTATTAAACTTTATATTGGCAATAGTTCTTGGTTATTATCAATATTAACATTTTTGTTGAATGACAGAGTAGTTTGTCGTGGCTATATCATTTTACAGGTATTAATCGAGTTTGGCTTTAAAATCGATTCTCAAGTTTTGATCGATTATTAAATTTTAATCGATTCTCAAATATTAATCGATTCTAAGAATCAATTTCCTCAATTCTACAAAATTAATCGATTCTCAGAATCGATTCCTATCCCTAGGTTAATAATGTAGGCAACAGCTCCCCAATGATATCACTGACGATGCCCTTCGGAAAAACAGAATAGCTCGAAAAATTTACGTCCTTTAGCAATATCAGAGAAAACAACACATCAATTAAGAACTTACATCACAAATTTTAGACTCAGATGTTGATTACTACGTATATCGATATACAGGGGTTGAAAAAAATATTGGACACTTTTATTTTATTAATTACTTTAGAATGTATATAATAAATTATTTTTAAATTTTTAAATA